CCTTTCTGAGATATTTTGTAACCTAAATATTTTAATTCAGGGGCTGCAAATTTGCACTTTTCGACATTAACTTTTAGACCGGCCTCATTTAATAAAGAAAACACCTGTCTTAAATCCTGTACATGTTGGTCGAGATTATCACTAGTAATAATGATATCGTCTAAATAGATAAATGTGGACTTTCCAAGAACAGGCCTTAACACAATGTCCATACATCGCTGAAATGTTGCCGGTGCCCCTGAAAGGCCAAACGGCATACGCAGAAAATGCATAAGTGCCAGACTTGGTTATAAAAGCAGTCTTAGGCACGTCCTCAGGCCTAACCCCTATTTGAAAATAACCAGTCGTTAAGTCTAAAGTCGTCATATATTTGGTGGATGTTATGTTCCTTAGAATTTCTTCAATAATAGGTAACGGATATACCGGATATTTAGTTATGGAGTTTAATTTACGGTAGTCAATTGCGAATCTCCACCTTTTTGGATGTGTCAAAGGATAGTCATTATTTTTCTTACATAAAACCACCGGGCTAGCATAACTACTTGAGATGGGCGTTATGATCTTTTTACGTAGCATATCGGTGATATGCCATTCTATAATTTTTTCCTTATTCTTATCATACCGGTATGCTTTGTGGCGAACTGGCATTGAATCTCCGGTGTCAATACTATGGTTAGTAACCTGAGTAAATCCTGGAATATCACTAAATAACGAAGCAAATTCACTTACCACTTGTCGGATTCTTCGTTGCTCTTCATTAGGCAGGTGGTCAAGGTTTAACATCGGCGGTTCAGCCTTTTCTTCACGAACTGGTTTCATTGTCAGCTTAAGGGACGCTTCATTAAAATCCAGCGTTGCTTGTGCCTCTGAAAGAAAATCTATTCCTAAGATAATATGTGCTTGCAGATTCTTTACTATGAAAAAACATAACCTTTACTTGTTCGTCCTTGATACGGACATACAGCGGTAATTTTACCTATGCACTTACATCTTTCTCCTTGCGCCGCTAACACTGTCGTATTATCCGAATTATATATGCGGTATTTCCGAAAATACTTCCTAAAAAAATCTTCTGCCACACAGGAACACTGCGCGCCTGTATCCAGGAGTGCGGTGGCTGGGATATTATTCACCAACACTTCAATCTTCGGAAGAGTCAAATTTTTCACCATTACTGTATTTAACTTGAAGGAAGAGGGGTTTTCGTGGCCTTCGGATTTCCGCACCCTCCCGTCAGCAGAAATCCGTTTTAGTTTAAATTATTTTTTCATTTCCGTGCTTTCCTTCTTTTTCCACTGGCCTTGAGACTTTTTTCCTGGATTGCTATTGAACTGTCGACGTTCGCCGGCTGTTTTTGAATGCTCGGGTTTCCTTGCCCACTGATTCGCTTTGCTTCCGTAGCCGTGTGCTTGAGTTTGCTGTAGTCTTGGCGCACCAAATTGGTTTCGCTGTTGATATTGGCGTCTTCTTTCAATGTCCGCCGTTCTTCTACTTTCAAACTGGATTGCTAGCTCAAATAACTTTTCCAGTGTAGTCGGATTTCTTAATTCAATAAAGTCTTGCACTTGGGGCAGTAACCTCGGCAAAATCACTTGAATTATCTCAGGATCCGGACGGTTTCCATACAAGAGTTTGAAGACGTGAATTTTTCTTAAAATAAAGCTTGAGAGATTTTCGATTCTTTGCTGATATATGCTGAAAAGTTCCGTTTCTAATTTCGCACGATCCCTTACGACAGGGAAGGCTTTTAGTAGGGCAGTCTTGAAATTTTCGTAAGTATAGGTGGGACTTCCTGCTTGACCCAAGAGACTTCTGCCTATACATTTGAACCAGTTAAGCGCTTGGCCCCTCAAAGCGCTGGTAGCTAAGGTAACTTTTTGAAATTCGTGCACGGGGTAGAGCATGAAGTGGTCATCCAATTTTTCCAAAAAACTGGTTACCGGTGAGTTTCCATTAAATGTTGCTTCTGGTTTCATCGAAGCGCGCGTGGTCTGGACGATGTAACCAAATCCTTCCAGGGCGGCAGCTGGCATTTCTGGATTCTGAGCCACTTCTGCAGGCAGCACAGGTTCTTCTTGAAACTCGGCCATGATTATTCTTCTTCGTTGGGCGCCACTATCAGGTTCAATGTTCCGTCTTACTTTATTCGGGAACATGCAAGGACCTGACTCGGAACAGAGAGCTTACTAAAGCTATGTTCAATAACTGTGGGAAGTAGACAGGATACACAAGAAGGGTATACAAAACCCTTTATTTTTCTCTCTTTACAATAATTTCCGTACTTCGGAATACAAGACCCACTACTTGTGGTCTAACGTAAGAATATAAAAATATTAACTAAACTCTAACTTTAACTTTGGAATAATAAACGTGGAAGATTGGCCTTATATTAACAGGAAGCCGTATGTAGTACAGAGAACTGTTAACACTACAATACGTTTAAAATTATCACGAGGATTAAAACCTCTGGCCTGGAAGGCAACCAGCAACTGAGTAAAACTTCTAAGGTAAGCGGCCTGCTTCGACTAACTCCTTCCTCTCTCTCGCTTGGCAAAAAGCCACAATTTAAGTATAAATAATTTGGTATTGGCGTTCGCCAGACAAATTTTGCATAAATAAGTTAACGCTTTTAATTCTGGCCCGAAGTAGAAAATAAGAAGTGATAGTAAAGGTTTAAAATAAAATAAACGTTAGTAAAACTTAAGATCCTTACACCGCTACACAAAATCAAAATAAGAAGTCGAAGAATTTCATAAGCTCGGTGTCCATGTACACATCGATCTATTTTCACTTAAAAGAAAATCATAGAATTGCACACTACCTTCACTTTGTCCATCAATCTATTTTCACTTAAAAAATATCAGGAAGCTAAAAACAAATTAAAACTATCATGGTACTTGGAAATGGGATCTCATGACCAAAATTGAACAAAATTTGTTGCCAATCGAAGGGGCACCCTATTCTACAGTAGAGCCATTTTAACTAAAACAACAACAATAAATTCCAAACAATTTCAAAGTTAAAGCAATGCAACAATTAAAACAACTCTCTACAAAATTAAAACTGTAAAAAAGCAAATTGACTTCCCATTCAAAATAGTTTCCCAAAAAGTAAAATGTTGATTTCAAATAAAAACTTGCAAGGACAGACTTATCACATATATAATCCAATATACTTTCGTTAATAAAAATTCACCAATCACATAAATCAGGTAAACCAAAATGCCACGTCTTAGCTATATCAGATGTCTTTCTATGATTAAAAGTAAAAATTTCCTTTAATGTCAGCTTCGAAGTTGTTGTTTCATTTATAGTAACCTGAGGCGTTGAATGTTATGGAAACCCTATTATGATGTGATTGGTTGCATGATTGCGGTGAATTTGACTGATGGGAAAATATTTGTTGGATGTCAGTGAAGAAGGGAAGAAGTACGTCATGTATTGTGTGCTTATGCATTGTGAAATGGCTGCTGGTGGTAAAGTGGGTGTTTGGTGCTAGAGAATAAGAGAATGTTTTTTTTTTTTTTTTTTTAAAGTGGTTGAGAGAAGAAGCCAAACTTTGTTGGATGTAATTTAATGGAATTATATGTGTCCTGTTTGTACAAAGGAAATGCATATGGTCGACCATAAAGATCGTTCAGATGGCTTTGAATGAGTTTATCGCAATAACATTCAAATACTCACTATATAAAGTGTTCCATTAGAAAGGGAATGCGGTTTGAGGAAAGTTTTTGGATGTTGTTAAAGAATTTTGTGTGTAGCGGACTGAAGACATGGAAATTTCTAAATAAAGTAAGTGGATAATTCCTTTATGTAGTGCTTAGATGCTGTAAGATGAATTTCCTTTTTTATTTATTTCATTATTTGATTTAAAATGTAGTTTATTGAGATTATATATTTTTTGTTTGGCTCTAGTGTAGAACTGAGTGATGCTTTGACCTTTTTTAAGTGAAAATAGATTGGTGTGTACATGGACAAAGTAAAGGGAATGCACAATGGCGAGTTTGTGCAATTCTCTGTATTTTTTTTTTTTTTTTTTTTTTTTTTTTTTTTTTTTTTTTTTAAGTAAAAATAGGTCAATGTGTACATGGATACTGAGTTTGTGTAATAAAAATCAACTTCAAACTAGCAAACACAAAGTCAAACTAACAAGTCAAAGAATTGCACAGACTCTGTGTCTGTGTACCGCCAATTTTCACCAAGGGGCACCCGTAAATATACTTTTACCCAACTTACTGCAGGAAAACCAGGATCCAAACCTCAAACTTCATTGAGGACAACATTCTTTACCTTCAATTATTTTTCTGCAAATCCATCAAAAACACAATTTTTCTTCTGAATCTTTATATCAGAACCATACTTCTCACATGTCAAGTTTGGCTTCGAAAGTCTTGTATTCCATAAAAACTGAAAACTACACTTCTGTCAGCATGAAGACAACCATGAACAAATGCTTCATTAATAACTCCAACAACATATCAAGGTTTTTCCAAAGGTCGGCAAAATGTTTATGATGAAGAGTATTGTGGCCAGCCGGCCCTCATTAATCACAACATTGAGGAACAGGTGCGAGAGTGTTTTCAGCAGAATCGTCATCCCTTCATGATTACAGAACTCAGCAGCCATTTCCTGTGGATGTCATGAACTATTGTGCATGAAATTCTCACAAAACACCTTTTGTTCCAGAAATTGTATACCGGGTGGGTGTCCAAGAACCTTATACTGGAACAGCAAATGAAACGCACAGCAGGAGCATTGACTTTTCTGCAGCAATAGCATGATGAATGCAACAAGTATCTCAAAAGGATCATTATAAGTGATGAGACATGGGTTGCTCACATTAACCCAGAAACTAAGCAACAGTTGATGCATTGACATCACAGTGGATCTCTGTGTCAGACAAAATTCAAGCAGACTGTATCTGCTGGGGAATACATATGCACAGTCTTCTGGGACAGGAAAGGCATTCTGCTCATTGACCTCTTGCCGAAGGGTGCTGCAATGAATGCTGATCATTACTGCGCAACACTAGAGAACTTGCAGGGAGCCGTTCAGAAGAAGAGGCATGGGATGCTCGTTGCTGGTGTTGTGTTACTCCATGGCAATGCTCACCTGTATACAGCAAATTCCACAAAAAATCTGCTGCAGAAGTTTTACTGGGATGTGATTGGCCATCCACCCTTTAGTCCCAATGCTGCTCTCAGTGACTTGCAGCTGAAGAAATTCTTGTCCAGGCATCACTTTCCCACAGAAGATGTCCAGACAACTGTGACATGCTAGCTCTATTCCACACGTTTTCACGATGTGTAACATGTATACGTGCTAGTTTCCCTTCAAAAGTTCTCTATTGAGAGATCCCTCCCCTTAGGCAGACTTGTATGACACTGGACTACAAAAATTTATCCCATGGTATGACATCCATGGTTCTTATGTTGAGAAGTAGCTGAAATATTGCTGTCTCTTTTGCAATAACTCTTTCTAGGTAATTTGTTTCTTTTTAATTAGAAGTTTTTCCAGGTAATTAGTTTTGTTTCTGTGGGAAACTTACTTTCGGGATGATTCGTACATTTTTGAGGATGTCAAAGGTTGTGTATTTTGGCAACATGTGGTGTTTCCTCATGAATACTTTTCAGACCCACCAGCGGTCAAGTCGGTGAACACTAGTTCAGTCTGAGGTGTGAATCCTGCAAATGGGTTGGCTACATGGGCGTTTCCATAGTTTTCACGCACGATGTGTAACGTGTATACGAGCCAGTTTCCCTTCAAAAGTTTTCCATGGAGGCATCCCTCCCCTTAGGCAGATTGCCCTTGAGACTTTATCGTAATCACATAAACCAAATCAAACATGAATACCTTTCAAGAGCGTGCAGATAATTATAAAAAATCACAAAAAATTTGATTATGAATTTATTATTTTTTCTGGCATTAAAAATTAAATTTTACTTATTAAAGAGTGAACTGCTTTACACTTCATGAAAATAAGATACATCTTTATTTTTTAGTTGTGGCTGACTCTAGCTAGAAAACATCTTGAGAGTAAAAATATTGATATAAAAAGAGCCTTTGCTGTTTGCTTTAGTGAAAAGAATGATCCAGATGATGCAGAACTTGGCACTCAAATCATAAAGGTAATATACCAGTTTGAATTTTATGTGTCTTTCTTTTCTAACATGAATTTATTTACATTTCTCTTAAATGTGAGGTATTTCTGTTGCAAAATATTTCAATTTGAACACATATCTTGAAAGATACATGTAAGATATGCAAAACAGTTGTGTTGATCTGTAGTAATCTGTCGCAATATATCACATAATTATTTCTTCATGGAAATATTAGCCTGTTAGTGATTATTTTCTGTTATTTTTTAATGACTGTGATTCAGCATTTTGAAAGAAAATTTGTAAAAAGGAAATCCCTTTCTCAGGTAGGTAGGTAATTCATGTGCAGTTTTGTAATAAAATTTTGAATTTTGGGTGAAAATTTATTGCTAAATGCCTTAAAAATAAATGTTAAAGAAGCTCATCTCCTTTTAACCCTCTTCACTAGGTATAGATTATAATATATTTTTCTTCTTTTGTTACTTTTCTGTTATAAAGCCATAACATATATAACTAAAAGGTGGTCAATTATAATTCATCACCACGAAGCTTTGAGGATTGGGTTGCCTAATTCTCAGTTGCCTTTTAAAAGGGGGAATATATAGGATATTTTTCTCTTCTTTCTGCATGCTTTTGTGGTGAAATTGGAAGCCCACTTGACACATTTCTTTGAGGTCCAGAGTTTGAATGTTGTCGAGAGCATTACACATTTTTCACATTCCTTCATCATCAAAATAACCTAAGGACTCTACACTATGATTGGAAAAAAAAATGGAAAGAGTATTAATAACTTGTATTAACAGTCAAGTAAACAAAAAGTGCTCGATTCAGGATTGTGTAGCTATTCAAAACAAAATTTAGATTTATTTTCACTCATCATAAATAAAGGTGGCCATCAAGTCATTAAAAAAAAAAAAAAAAAAAGAGTCGCAAGCAAGTTAAGATTAGCTTGAGAATTTTAAGCATTGTTTTAATTTGCAAAATGTACATGCTCAGAAAGAAACTGGTTCTGCAAATAAAGAAGCAGCAGAGAAATTCAAACCCCAGTTTTTGAAATTCACTGAAGAAAGAGTTAGATATGGCAACAAGTTTCAATGCAGATGAGTTGGGCCTGTTTTAAGAAACAAATGGGACAACAGACTATCAAAAAGATACAAAAGGTTGCCTTTGTTTTTAAAGCTTTTAAGGATAGACTTTTATTGTTTGTGAAAATGCATCATGTGAAATGAAGTGCAAGCCTTTTTTGCAAGCTTGTTTATTGACTAAAATGCCTCATTTGTTGAAGTGAAAACATTTTCTGCACTTGCTGTTTGTGTGGAAGTGAAACAGAAAAGCTTGGGTAATGTAAACACATTTTAATGACTTGTTTAAAAATTCACTTGTTAAGGAAGTCAAACCTGAGTTTTAAAATTATCTGAATTTTGGATTATGCTCCAATACACAGTACAACATTGCATTCAGATGTAGAGATTTTATTCTTACCACCTAAGGCCACTTTCTTAACTTAGCCAATGAATCGAGAGATCATAAAAATATTCAGAACTTATTTATTATGCTAGGTACACTGCACAAAAAAAAGGGGGCACAGTTCTATATCTCTCATTCTACTGGGCCGATTGACGGAAGTCAACTTGTGTTTTTCATTCTTGAAAGCAGGATTTAGGATATGTATTAGATTTATATATAGAATTGTTCTAATATAGGTATTTTGACACAAAGTCTGACCTTTTCTTTGAAATGACATACCAATTTTTTCCCATATTTCGAGTCTACAACTCTATGCTAAACTGCCAAGTTTTGTAAAAATTGCATGAGTAGTTTTTAAAAAATTAGCTCTCAAAATCAACTCCTCAGTGTTAATTGAATTTGTTATATATTTATTAATATCTATTTTTTATTTAACTTATTTGATTCTTTCTGTCATATTTTGAAATTTAAGTTCATTTCAAATAAAATTCACAATTGTTTTATGATTTATTTTTAAAATTTGCATTGTTAAATAATTTTTATACCGTACAAAGTCTGAAATCCGGACGTCCATTACCCGGAATGATCTAATATCAGGACCTGAAAGCCACAAACTTTTTTGTTTTAGTATGCTTTATGCATGCGCATTTGATTTTTCCTTTCATAATAAAACATGTGGAGATTTTTCACTTAAAAATTCCGATTCTTAATTTCACTTAGGCACTAAATAAAATACCTCGTTATGAAAAAACAATCATGTAAGCATAAATTTGTGAGATTAATAATTTGGCTACCTAGCTGAGTAGCTACTTGGCATACATCTCAAACCAAAACATTCACCTATTTTATATCCCTGATGCTGACCTGGCTAGTCATTATATATTATATTTTGCTTTCATCATCACATCTTTATCAATACATGACAGCTTTAGTAATAACTCATGCAGTGATGTCTAAACTTTTTTTTATTTTAGTAATTGAATAACAAGAGTATGACAACCTCTTATGCTAACATTACGCTTGGCAATGATTATAGATTTTTAAATGCTCTAAAAAATGTTGACGAGGAAAAATTCAACAAAAATTTCTTTTCATATGCTAAAAATAGATTTTTTAATGAAACTCATAGACCAAAAGATTACATTTAGTGCTATTTTAATTAAAAATAATTGATAAGTTATTCACCATAAACCCAGAAGCGACGGCAGAATTTAGACAAAGTTTTTGAAATTTGGGGAAGCACTGAGTGGCAAAAGTAATGGATGAGAAGTTTTTTATAGTTTAGGGAAAGCACTGGGATCCAAAGTTTAGGCGTGGCGAAAATTTAGAACTTAGGAAGGCACTTTGTAGCAAAATTTAGGCCCTGCAGAGACTGCACTGGGTGGTATCTAGCGTCGGCCCTAGATAAAGCCTTAAGTATACGTGGGAGTTTATATATTCAGGACTCAGATTAGTTTTAAACATGTGCAAGAAATAAATGTAGGAAAATGAATAACTAATACAATTCAGTACGTAAAAGAAGCATGACAAAATTTAGCGCACCAACTTGGCTTTCGTCACCAATCTGGTGATACACAGCCAATAATGTAAAATAAACGCTATTAAGCTAGGCTAACATTTTCTTTACTGATTCTGAAGCATTTCAGTTAATACATCAGATTACGCTGCTCCTTAATCTTCTAATTTGATCCAGCTTATTATTTTTTGTAGACTGTTATTATTAGAGCAATTTTATAAAAATTAAGCTTGAACTTTTGATTATGTCGAAAGAGTTTCCAATTCTGGAGCTGCCAAAGGATCTACAAAGTGAAAGCATATTTCGATGTCCATTAAACAAAAAGTGGAATTGCTGTGAAAAGGGATAAAGGCATATACATCTCAAAATTTTGCGAGGAGTATGGCATTGGAAAGTCAACAGTATATGACATAAGAAAAAGGAACTTTTTGAATTTTTTGTGGATTCCAACACCCCACTTGCAATGAATAACAGAAAATGTGTTCGTTATCCTAAAAGTGACGATCATGACAAAATGATGATTGAATTTGTCAGACAGTGTCGCAGCGAAGGCATGCCAATGACGGGTCCAATTATAATGGCTCAAGCCAAAATATTTCATGAAGAAATGAACTTCAACACTGCGTGCACATATTCAACAAGTTGGTTAACCAAATTAAAAAATCGCCATGATGTAAGACAATTAAAAATTTCAGGTGAAAAAGCTTCAGCTGATACTGAAGCTGCAGAACAATTTGCAGATGAATTCATTGAACTCATCACTAGTGAACAATTATCTCCAGAACAAATTCAAAATGCTGATGAAACTGGTCTTTTCTGGCAATATGTACCGCGAAACCTTGGCAACCTCCATTTGGTGTGAAAGATTCCAAAGCGAGAATAACAATTTTAGCATATGCAAATGCTACAGGAATGCACAAGTGCAAACTTTTCATAATCAGAAAACATGCACGACCTCAAGCATTTAAAGGAGTAACGATTTTCCCCGTTATATATCGTGCAAATAAAAGAGCATGGATGACACAAGTGTTAATGAATGATTAGATTTAAAATCATTTTATATATATATATATTTATATTTTATCATCCTAGGCTCGGCAACATTTGAATTTGGTTTTTCCTGATGTCTCAAAAATAGTCCTGATTGTAGACAACTGTTCGGCTCACTTAAAATTTTAGTGAAAGATAATGTATCCATATTATGCTTCTCTCCAAATTGAATGTCTGTCATTCAGCTTATGGATATCTTAATAGTGCGCGCACTGAAATGCAAATATAAAGTAGCATTTTAAAATCTATGTTAAATTTCATGAACAATGAAAAGACTATTCAAGAGTTTTTGAAATATTTTAGCATAAAATCTGCTGTGTGGAGTATCGCAAGATCGTGGGAGGGTGTGTTGCCAGATACATTAAAAAATGCTTGGCATAATTTATGGCCAGCTTCCATATTTCATGGTGAGGATGATGAAGATGATAGCCACAGATTTGAAGGTTTTCGGATATCGCAAACTGAAGGTGAAATTTTCCATTTATTGGATTTTGTTTTGGAAAGAAATGTTTAATAAAGTTTAATAATAATAATGATCTAAAGGGTATCAAATTTTAATTTTATAAAATTTGATACCCTTTAGATCATAATTGCTCTTTATTTCATAAATTACAATTTCATATTTTTAATTGTATAATTTCTGCATGTCATCTTACCAAATTTAAATTGAGGATCTCCTTTTATTTATGAAAATAGGTACTCTTCTGTTATTGGGCCAGATTCAGTAAGATATGTATAGATGAGTTCATGTATATAATGTATATATGTACCTACCTATGTATGTGTGTGTATATATATATATATACACACACACATATGCTCATACATACATATATACATTTCTGAATTTGGTCCCGATAACAGAAGAGTACCTAAAAAAATTTAGGATTTTTTAAATTATAGATACTTTCTCAATTTTGAACTGTATCTGGCATACTTTTTTCATTGAGAGGTAACTCTGTTAAATACGATTTCGTTTCAACCCCTTCGTTCGGCA